TAAAAATACAATAATTAGTAAATTTATTCCGAACTTCTAAAGACTTTTTCACACCTGATAAAATAAATAAATTTGTGAATTGTATTGATTGCTAACGTGAACAAGTAATTAAAAAAAATACTGGCTTGTTCTACTGTTGAAAACCCCGGTAATTCTACCGACTTCGGTGATCTGAATTAAGTTGTCCAGATCGAAAATCTCTAATCTCAAAATTCTTTAAATTCAAAATTTACTAGAATCATTTTTTTCTATGTAGCCTAGGACTGGAAATCTCTTTAATAAAGAAACAATTTTTTTTTTCAATATTCAAATTTCTCTTAATTCAGAGATCACTAACCTTAAATTTATCTAAATTCATAATTTTCTACATTTAAAAAAAAAACATCCAAATCCTCGCAATTAAAAATTCTTTAAATCTGAAAAGTAAGATATTCATAAATGAAAATTTTCTGAATTCATAACTCTCTTACTTCAATATGCGCTGAATTCTAAATTCTCAATTAACAAAATTCTCTATCTTATCTAATATAATCTAATCTTATCTCTATTTTTAAAACTTTTTAACTTCAACATTTTCTTTTGTAAAACTTTTATGGATGCGAAAATCACTAAATTCATGATAAACTAAATTCAAGGTTCTCTCAATGCAATTTTTTATTCATCAAGGCTCTCCAATTATCTAAATTCATTTATTTTTCTACAAAATTTTCTAAATTCCAATTGCCTTGAATTCTGTAACACCAAAATTCACTAAATGCAAAATGCATCCTGATGAATGTGGGTGCCTTAGTGGAATACTTGTATAAAGAGAGAGATAGAGAACGATTAGTAATTTCTATTTAATTCCACTACGTTATTTGCTTATCATTGACAGATACGAAGATTTATGCAAAATGCACTTAATTCAGCGCTCTCCAATTTCAAATTTCACTGAAATAGAAATTCTTTGAATTCAAAGTTCTCGCAACAAAATAACACAAAATACTGTGTTAAATTCAAAGCTCTTCAATTTCAAATTTCTCTGTATTAACTATTCTATGAATTAAAACAAATGTGTTTGCTTAATTCACACAATTCAAAATTCAGTTAATCTAAAGTTCTTTCAAAATGCGCTTAATTCAAAATTCTCATATTCCGAAAAATTTAAAATTAAATATCACCCCAAATTAATTTTTTTAAATACGAAATTCTATTCTTTCAAAACTATACTTTATTCAAAATAATCTTAATTCAAAATATTATAAAATAAAAATTTTCAAAATTCTAGAGCAACATTTCAAAAACGCGATGCAATTTTTTTAATTTCAAGGCTCTCCATTTATATCAATTCACTTTTTTTTTAATTCACATTTCCCTGAACTCAATAATTTTACAATTCACTTAATGCTCTCTAACTTCAAATTTATCTGAATTCAGTATTCTCTAAATTCAATATTATCTTTTCTAAAAATTAAAGTTCTGTGAATTAAAAATTCTATGTATCCAGAATTCTAAAGTTCGAAAAATTAAAAATTCATCAAAAGAATAATTTTTAAAATCTAAGCTTCGATTAGATAAACTCTCCACAATTTTTTTAATTCAAAACTATGTAAATCTTAATTTATATAAATTCAAAATTCTTAAAATTCAAATCTATGAATTCAAACTTTGCCAATGGAAAATTCTCTAATTCGAAAATCTTAAAATTAGATGAAAATTCAAAATTATTCAACACTTCCCAATTCCTATTTTCCAATTTTCGGTTCCCAATTTTAAATTCCCACCTTTAGTTCCCAATTTCAATTCCCAGTAAGCAAATCTCAATTCACGATGCTCAATTTACATTTTTCAATTCCAAATTTAAAACATTCAATTCCCATTTCCCAATAACCAATTCTCAATTTTCAGTTTACAATTCCTAATTTCCATTTTCCCAATTACCTGTTTCCAATTCCCAATTTTCTTTACCCAATCTCCAAATCCCTATTCCATATTTTCAATTCTCAGTGGGTTAATATCAAGGATATCTATCGCAACAGATGTCGCTAGTAAAAAAAAACGTTACGGCGATTTATTTAGTGTGCAGTAAACCGAAAAATGTTAATTTCCACAAAATTTGAACCATTTTAAAATAATATGTTCGGAACACTTAATAGCTTAAATTTTTACGTAATTGGCTAAACAAATATTGTTTTCTGTTTTCGCACCCAAAATCGATATTTTAGAAAAATTGTTGATGCCTTTATATAGTACACTAGCTGAGTATGCCCGGCCTTGCTCGACATTCAATATTAGCTTGAGTTTACGCGCCGATTCAAAAAGAAAAAAAGCATGCTATATTGTACAAAGCCCCCCCCCCCCTCCAATTTGGTTCCAGTTGTTTGATTAGTTCTTTTTTTTTTTTTTTTTAATTCTTTATTTAAGAGATTTTTAGCCTTAGGCTAGTTCATCTCTAATTGATTAGTTCTAAAGTTATGCAGAAATTTCTGTTTCATTTGTATGGGAGCCCCCCCCCCCAATCAAGGGGGGGGGGTCTCGAACCATCATAAGAACCTTTCCTGGCCCCAAAAACCCCTGCATACAAATTATCACGCCGATCGCTCAGTAGTTTCCATGTCTATAAGGGTCAGACAGACAGACAGACAGACAGACAGACAGACAGACAGAAATTCATTTTTATAGATATAGAAGAAGATTATATTTTTAAAACTTTTTCCCAAAAGGTGGCGCCATGCTGTCAATAGTTGTGAGTTCAATCAACTTACGGTAATCCATAGCCATTTGCAAGTTTTCAATCGTTAATTGTCAGTTCCTTATTCCCGATTCTCAATTCCCTTTTACAAATTTCCAATTTTCAGTTTGCAACTCTCAATCCATATTTTTCAATGCCCAATTCCAGATTCCCAATTCCAGATTCACAATATTTCAATTGCCAATCAATTTGAAGATTCCAAGTTCCCAGTTCCAAATGAACAGTTCTCAATTCTCGATTCTCAAATCCCAATCCCATATTTTCAGTTTTCGTAATTCCTTATTCGCAATTCCCCATTCATAACTCTAAATGCAAAATTTCGTATTCTGAATTCACAATTAAAAGTGCAAAATTATAAATTTCAGCTCCTCACTTATTCTCCCAATTCCCTTGTTAAAATTTCCAATTTTCAATTTGCATTTCGCAATTCATATTTTCCAATTCCCAATTTCAAATTTCCAGCTCACAATTTCCTATTCCTTGTCATAATATTTCAATATGTACTCATTTATCAATTCCCGATTCCCAGTTCCCATTTACAAGTTCTCAATTTTCAATTCTCAATTCCCAATTCCGGTTTTTAAATGCACAAATCACAATTCATAATTCCTTATTCGTAATTCCCCATTAATATCTCTAAATTTTAAATTCTGAATTCACAATTAAAAGTGGAAAATTCCAAATTCCAAATCCTCATTTTCCAACTACTTATGCTCTATTCCAGTCTTCAAATTTCAAATTTCATATTCCAAATTCCTTATTTTCTATTCTCAATTCCAAATTCTTTATTTGCAAATTTTCAGTTCCCACTTCTCTATTCCCATTTCCTATTTTACAACTCCCTATTCCTTTGCTAAAATTTCAAATTTTAAATTTGCAATTCCCATTCATTCTTAGTGTTTTTATGTCACTTCATACGCGAAGTTTGTGATTTTCAGAGTTGGTTGGAAATGCTATCTAACATGAAGCTTTAGTGTGATAATTTATTAGCTAGAGTAGAGAATGGCCTTAGAAGAGGGTAGGTAGATAGTTCCGTTAGAGTGCGGCAGTATGATAATTGAATAGAAGATAAAAATGAGCCAAGGGCCATTAATGCGACACTGCTAGTCAAACTCACACTCTCTGCCTAAGCCGTACGATGGACGCGGATATTTGAATCATGTCTTTAAATCTACAGGCAAAAAGTGTGCGCTTGACTTTGCTCAAATACTGTCTGCGGCTGTGGAATAGTTCTAGCGTTTTAGTCAATTAGCCATTCATATTTCCCAATTCCAAATTCCCTCCTCCTAATTTCCAATTTTCAATTCCCTATTCCTTATTCCTTGTTATAATATTTAAATTCCCCGTTATCAATTCTCAATTCCCAGTTCCCAGTTTCCAATTCCCAATTCTTGATTCTCAATTCAAAATTCTTAATTTTTAATTCACAATTCACAATTCGTAGTTTCTTATTTGCCATTCCCCATTCTAAATTCCAAATTCAAAATTATGGACTCACAATTAAAAGTGCAAATTCCAAATTCCTAATCCTTATTTTCCAACTCTTTATTCTCTATTCCAGTCTCCAAATTCCAAATTCCAACTTCCATATTCCTTATTTCCTATTCCCAAATCCAAATTCACAATGAATAAATTCCAAATTTTAAGTTCCCCATTCCGAAATCCCAATTTACTACCCCTTATTCCCTTTTACCCAGTTCCGAATTCCCAATTCTATATTCCCATCTCAATTATCAATTCCCAATTTTCAATTCACAATTCGTAGTTCCTTATTCGGAATTTCCCATTCATAATCGTAACTCTAAAGTCCAAATTCCAAATTCTGACTTCACAATTAAAAGTGCAAAATTCCAAACTCAAAATACTCAATGTCCAACTGCTTATTCTCTATTCCAAACTTCAAATTCCAATCTCTAAACTCAAAATTCCAAATTCCAAATACCCTATTCCCAATTTTCAATTCTTAATTTACAAATTCCAAATTTCAATTTACAAATTCCAAATTTCAATTTACAAATTCCAATTTTAATTTGGGCATTGGGAATAGAGAATTGGGTGGTAATAGAGTGTCTCAGATGGCCTAGTCAGTAAAGGCACGGTATTGCCAAAGTAGCGAGTTCGATTCCCAGTGTGTCGGGGAAATCTTTCGGGATTAAAATTTTCTCGACCTCCCTGGGCCTAGAGTCTCAATGTGCTTGCCACACAATATGCAAATTCATAAGGATAACAAAGAAGGAAACATTTGATAGAAGGAACTGGTTTTTATTGTCTAAATGTCATCGTTGTACAAGAGCATATCGGTCTGCAGGTCGCTGTAGGATGGTGCACTCGACGCGTGGCTCAGCAGAGCTTGTCGATTTTGAGTGGTGAACGCATTGAAGTGCTCCCGGAAGCAGAGATACAGATTCCGGTAGGCCGCTGTGCAGTTGTCCTGGATCAAGGGGCGGTTGGCTTCGATGCAGAGCCTGGCCCTCGATTTGAACTCCTCCGAGGGTTGATCTTCGGCAAACTCGGCGTGCAGTCGCTCCAGATTGGGCCCAGTGGTATCGCTGTATAGCTCCAGACGAATTCCAACGCAACGGAAGAGGCAACGAGTTTCCGCATCGTCCGGGAATACGCCTTGATTGTAGAGCTTCAGATGATCCTGCGGGATACGTAGGATTTTGGAGCAGGTGAATAACGCTTTAAGGAATTTCTCCGCCGTTAGTTTCCGACTGGTAGACGACGAACCGGATGGTTCAAATTTGCGCATGGCACAACGGAAGGAGTAGTAGGCTCTGGCGCAAGCATCCGAGGGGTCACACGATAGCAACTTGCGTTCGGCACATTGAAGCACTTTCTGTGAAATCAGTTCCACATCGCAGGAGTCCGGGAAAAGTTGCTTTGCTCCGTCAATGAGTAGGCCTTGCTCGTCGTCCCAGAAGCCAAGAACGATTCCAGTGCATCGTACCATGCACATTGTTTCGCGATCCGGGGGGTAGACACTGATGTTGTACTGCGCCAAGCGAGTTTCCGATATTCCGAGGTATTCCACACACGTTGCCTGAGCCTGCAGTAGGCCTTCATTCTGGAGATACTGAGCCGAACTGGATAGCACCAACGATGCCCAAACGGCAAGAAAACAGCCTACGAACCGAGCCATTGTGTCTACTGATGACCTGGGCTGATAAGCGCAGTGTTATTTATGAGCACAGAAGCATGCTTGGAGCACGTCCCAGTCGAAAACAACTAACGGACCTGCCAAGAATGTTTAGCAAACCTCTGCCCCTACTGACCTTGTTTTGAATGCAGCAACGACGCACGCACGACTCTTCGCCGTTATCAGCATGGCAATCAATCTGTCATTCCACGTGTCAGCACGTGTATTTCACCTGCCTTCCCGCGGTGACATTTATTAGCCACCGTCCTGAAAATGCAATCAACGTTCAATCAACCGTGATAAGACACGTAGCTGGCATTCATCATTCGCTTCCGCTTCCGGTGTGATACTTGCAGCAAGAGCATTAACAACCAGAAACGATTTATTCGAAAGCTTTCGGGGAACGCTTTCCGGAAATCCGCAGCCGTAAATTTTACGCCCCCTCGCCAAAGCAGGCCTTGGTTTGTGTTCCAAACCAAACCAGCTCCAGATCAGAGGATTTTCCCTTCTGGGTGTTAAATTTACACACGCCTACCTTGATCCCGCTCTGACTCCGGGAGAAGATACCTTGCGACAAATGGCACCTGCAGAGCTGGCAGTGAGGTGTACTGAAATAAATAAAGATCAAGATTTCCTGACTGGCACATCCAAGGTCGGACAACCGTGAAATCCTGTCTCTTTCGATATGCTACACACCCACCTACTGCCTAACTTGGCTAATTCCCTTCGGGGGGAAAGACAGCTCAATCGCGCTTATGGGGCGTATTGGATGGGAGGCGACAAATTTTCTATTCTGTTCGGGAGTAAGATGTTGATTTGTTCCCGGGTTGGTGGGATGGCGGGAAGGGGGGGGGGGGCAAAGGGAAAACATATGGCCCCAGTACCTACATGTCTTGTTATCTATGCCTGTTATCCCACATATTTTACGACTCTTTCACTGGTTTTATCTCCTTTATTGGATCGGAGGAGTTGAATGGTTTTAACAATGACGTAGAGCAACAGGATTATGTTGATCCACCTTCTGACTGGAAATAACAGGTACGGTTAAGCTATTGCAAGTATAGCAGGTGGGTTTGTTTTTTTGGTAGAGGAAATTAGATTTTCCAATTTCAATTGCATGTTCTTTATGTTGAATTCTGATTTGTTTGGAAATGGAATTTTCATTTCCATTAAATTTCCATTCCATTTCCATTCCATTTCCATTCCATTTCCATTCCATTCCATTTCCATTCCATTTCCATTCCATTTCCATTCCATTTCCATTTCCATTCCATTTCCATTCCATTTCCATTCCATTTCCATTCCATTTCCATTTCCATTCCATTTCCATTTCCATTCCATTTCCATTCCATTTCCATTCCATTTCCATTCCATTTCCATTCCATTTCCATTCCATTTCCATTCCATTTCCATTCCATTTCCATTCCATTTCCATTCCATTTCCATTCCATTTCCATTCCATTTCCATTCCATTTCCATTCCATTTCCATTCCATTTCCATTCCATTTCCATTCCATTTCCATTCCATTTCCATTCCATTTCCATTCCATTTCCATTCCATTTCCATTCCATTTCCATTCCATTTCCATTCCATTTCCATTCCATTTCCATTCCATTTCCATTCCATTTCCATTCCATTTCCATTCCATTTCCATTCCATTTCCATTCCATTTCCATTCCATTTCCATTCCATTTCCATTCCATTTCCATTCCATTTCCATTCCATTTCCATTCCATTTCCATTCCATTTCCATTCCATTTCCATTCCATTTCCATTCCATTTCCATTCCATTTCCATTCCATTTCCATTCCATTTCCATTCCATTTCCATTCCATTTCCATTCCATTTCCATTCCATTTCCATTCCATTTCCATTCCATTTCCATTCCATTTCCATTCCATTTCCATTCCATTTCCATTCCATTTCCATTCCATTTCCATTCCATTTCCATTCCATTTCCATTCCATTTCCATTCCATTTCCATTCCATTTCCATTCCATTTCCATTCCATTTCCATTCCATTTCCATTCCATTTCCATTCCATTTCCATTCCATTTCCATTCCATTTCCATTCCATTTCCATTCCATTTCCATTCCATTTCCATTCCATTTCCATTCCATTTCCATTCCATTTCCATTCCATTTCCATTCCATTTCCATTCCATTTCCATTCCATTTCCATTCCATTTCCATTCCATTTCCATTCCATTTCCATTCCATTTCCATTCCATTTCCATTCCATTTCCATTCCATTTCCATTCCATTTCCATTCCATTTCCATTGTCTATGAATTTCTGAAAATTTTTGATATTTCGAATGTCCGGTCTTGTTGAAATCAGAGATTGGCCTCTTTTCCTGGATATTGGGTGGCCATTGTCGCTCTGCTCATTTGGCATGATCTGATTTTATAGAAATCAGCGATACTTTTGATACTCACATTGTCCATGGTGTTCGGTATTTGTCCTCGGATTGCTACCAAACTTGACAAATTTATTTTAAAATACCAAACCAAACTTCCTTGCACTCATCAACAATGCCGTGATCCGCCTCCTCCAGCAGGGAAAACAAATTTGTTATCTCGCCCTTTTCCCTACCAACTGCTCTTCTCCGGCAGGCACCGTGACTGACGGAAGTTAATTTCGGCATCAAGCCAGGAATGGCAGCAAAACTTTCTTCTCTCTCCATTAATCAATGACCCGAACTGACTGACTGCAACGAAGACTAGGTACCTACGCTACTACGGTGGAGACGCACTCGATCGGCAAATGGAGAAAAGGACCACCTAGTAGTTGCAGTTTGGCGCAAACTTCCTGTCATTTACCACCTGTCATTATGGAGCATTTTTCACGTGGCTCGTTTCCGGATGCATCCTCCTGCTCCTCGGTCGGTCTTTTATTCGAGCCAAAACTTTTTCCTCCAGCCAGACGACCTGAAATGGCGAAATGGCAAGTCTTCTTCGCATGTGTGAGCAGCAGTCGGAAGGCAGGATGGCAACCTGGACAGGTTGGTACCGCTTTATCATCCCTGATGCTTGTTGTGTGTGGGTGTGTCTATTGCGTCGTTCTAGCTTAGCATTTCGTTCGGAAGAACCAGCCAACAATAGATTATTATTGTCAGACTTGGGAAGGGGGTAAAAACGACGAATAGAACGATTTTTCTACATGTTTCAATTCGAAGAAATGCTTAGCAGAGTGCATTTCCGTTCTCAGCTGCAGATGAACGATGCGGAAATCGACAAACGAATATTATCGTCGTCGTCGTCGTCGTCCATACATGAATAGAAAATGTGGAAATGTGAGCTTCCGTATGCAAAACTAACATTTTTCCTTGGGCCCTCCTGGATGGAGTCCTTTCTAGCCGGTCGCCATAGCTGAGGCTGCAAAGCAGGAAGTTGTACCGTGTCATGTTCGATGTGTCATTAGCTGAAGTGAGTTGAAAAATGACGCCCTCTCTCCTGGGGAAGAATGGAACATGGGGACTGTCGCAAAGTGAGATGACTACAAAGAAGAGGATCTTTTGAAGCTGGGATAAGTATGCTACGATTGACTGTTCTATTTGAGCTGGGAAATCGAAAGAAAATATTGAAATCGAAATTCGAACAAAAACTGGCAACTGGAAGTTGAAATTAAAATCGGATTGAAAAATGGCAGGGCTTTGGGAGTTGAAGTCCGAGTCAGAATCGACTTTCATGACTGCTGAAATTTGGAATTTCTGGAAACCTGATTTTAATTGAATTGAAAATCTACTTTAATGATAATAATACGATTCATAGCAAATTTTCGTGTAGCTTTAGAATTAACAGCAAAACATTTGTGACAAAGATGTTACTAAACTGCCATTGGATCTATTGATTTAAATTATTTAAGTTTATCAGAAGTTTCCTTAATAAAGAAACAACAACAACAACAACTTATTTAAGTTCATTGTCTGCTCCTCGACATCTTTAGATTAACTTTTTCATCCTTCGTTCAGGCTGAGTTTATTAATTTACTTGTTCAGCCCTTCGATGATGGAAAATCTTTGGATTTATATAATAATGATAAATATGTTTGAGCCTTTGTTCAGGCTAGATCTATTGAATTAAATTGTTTAAGCTTATTTTCAGCTCTTCGATGATGGAGCATCTTAGGATTTACTTTTTTCAGCCTTCGTTCAAGTTGAGTTTATTGATTGAAATTTATTTTCAGCCGTTCGATGATAGAAAATCTTTAGATTTCTATTAAAGGGTGATACGGTCAAAATTTGGTCAATATCAACTTGACGTATTTCTTTCAATTTTGCATTTAAAAAACCTGAACACCCCTCATTTTGAAGGTGTGTGTGTGTAGAATGTTGCTCCTATTTTGATTTTGGAATTCACTCTTCAGTTGTCAAAATGCCGTCCAAGCAAGAAGAGCAGCGTATCAAAATTTTGCTCGCGCATCGCGAAAATCCGAGCTACTCGCACGCAAAGTTGGCAAAATCGCTAAAAGTTGCCAAATCAACCGTTACAAATGTAATTAAAGTGTTTGGGGAACGTTTGTCGACAGCCAGGAAGTCTGGATCGGGGGGAAATCGAAAACCGGAAGCCGCTGAGACGACAAAGAGAGTTGCCGGTAGTTTCAAGCGAAACCCTAACCTCTCTCTCCGAGATGCCGCAAATAAGCTGGGTGTATCGTCTACAACCGTGCATCGAGCCAAAAAACGAGCCGGACTATCGACTTACAAGAAGGTAGTGACTCCAAATCGCGATGATAAACAAAATACGACGGCCAAAGCGCGATCCCGGAGGCTGTACACGACGATGCTGACGAAGTTTGACTGCGTGGTAATGGACGACGAAACCTACGTCAAAGCCGACTACAAGCAGCTTCCGGGACAGGAGTTTTATACGGCAAAAGGAAGGGGAAAAGTAGCAGATGTTTTCAAGCACATGAAACTGTCAAAGTTCGCAAAGAAATATCTGGTTTGGCAAGCCATCTGTACCTGTGGCTTGAAAAGCAGCATTTTCATAGCTTCCGGG